AGCTTAACTGAATTTCTCTTTGTGCCTCAAAAGCTGTGAGCCTTTTCAACTGAGGAGTTATATCCAGCCCCTGTAAGCCTCTAGCTGCTGAGAACTTCAGAATGTCCACATTCTTGACAGCCTGCCCACCCTCTGAGCAGGAGGTATTTGCTTATTTATTAACTCATGATGCATAAGCTATAAAAGTACAAAAGAACCTGTAATGACAGCCTAGGAAATAATCCTCTCCCCATGTCAGCAGCTTTGACAAAATTGCCCCCGCAGTGGTTTCATTAAGTTTCAATCTTGTAGCAAATGGTTGATTTAAATTTTTCTTAATAAATATTCATTAAGCTTGAACAAGTCAATTAAAGCTCTGGCAGCAGCTCACAGGAATCTTGAATGTAGGCAGACAGGGGGAGAAATTTTGCAAATATTTCCAACAACGTTGCAGTCTTCCCCCATAAGAGTGCTAGTTTTCCTGAACAACTGGGAACACTCTCAAACCTGGGGAAGCCATCTGAGGCCTCCATTTCCCCCCATTTACAGTGTAGCTTTAGAAAATCTTGTTACATCCTATCTCCTCTTCCACAATTATTGTACTGCCCCACCATCCTATAGAAACTGCCCAAAGTCATCAATAAATTGTAATCTATACTTTATAGCAAAGAATGGCAGACTTTAGCCCATAGGCTAAATCAGACCCACCACCTGTTTTTGTTAATAAAGTTTTATTGGAACATACCACTCTCATTCATCTACATATTATCTGTGGCTGCTTTTGCCCTCCACTGGCAGAGATGAGTAGTTGCAACAGTATTTCCCAAAAAGCCTAAAATATTTACTAACTTAATCTTTACAGAATAAGCTTGCTAACTCCTACTTTACCTTACTTGATAGTCATTAGCTTATTTGACCTCTTTCTAGAATTTGGTGCTATTAATCTCTCCCATCTCAAAAATCTCTATTTATGCCTGGCTGGTGTTGCTCAGTGGTTGAGCATCGACCTATGAACCAGGAGGTCCGGATTTGATTCCCGGTCAGGGCACATGCCCAGGTTGCAGACTCAATCCCCAGTGGGGGGCATGCAGGAGACAGCTGATCAATGATTCTCTCTCATCATTGATATTTCTATCTCTCCCTCTTCCTTCCTCTCTGAAATCAATAAAAATTACATTAAAGAAACAACCAAAAAACATATATTTTTTTATTCCCTATTCCTTTGACTTCTGTGACAGCCCTATCCCCTGGTTTTCTTCCTAGCCTGCTGCTAATTTTTCTTCTGCTTTCTGGTCTCCTCTTCTCTCTTAATATCAATGTTCTCCTGAGTTCCACCATGTTCATTCCTCTCTTCTCACTCTGTACATTCTCCCATGGTGCTATACCAAGGTTTCCATTTCTACTTGTATTATGATTGTTCTCAAGTGTCCATTTCCATCTCAAAACTCTCTCCTGAGCTCCAAACCAATACAGATAATCCCCCATTTATGATGATTCCGCTTAAAATTTTTCAGCTTTATGATTGTGAAAAAGTGATACATATTCAGTAGAAACTGTACTTTAAATTTTGGATTTTAATCTTTTCCAGGGCTAGTAAATACATTTCAACTTACAATATTTTCAACTTACAATGGTTTAGTCAGGATTAATCACTTAGTAAGTCAAGAGGCATCTGTATATCCAAATGTCTATGGTATCTTGTGACCTGGATTATCCCATAAACACATCAACTTGCATAGCTATAGATATAGTGAAAAGTAAGCATATGATTCTTTTTATCTTTTGGATCCCAGAATCATAATATGGTTTACACTCATGTGGAAGAAAATCAATGAGTGTTATCACCAAAGAAAGAATATGCAAACTCCAAACAAGCTAGCCAAAGACCTGCAAACCACACCCTGAAGCATAATATAAGGAGATGGTTCTGATCACCTTGAGGGAAATGTTGTTTGGAACCTGGATGCAATAAAAGAAAGAACAAAAAGAAAGGGATGGATGCATTTGAGATATATATATTTGTATATATCCAAGTATGTATATTTGTATAAGTGTACAGCGTACTCTAAACAGCCAATTCTCTAGATTTTTTTTCCTTCCCCTTACCATTGCCACAAAAGATTGAGCCACAGGACGGGGGTCAATCACCAACATAAACCCATTCACCCACTCCAGAAACCTGGTAATCAACCTTGCCAGCTCCCTCCCTCATGCTTACCGTCACTCAAATCCTGGTGATTCTGCTTCTTTGATCTCTGAAATCTACTTCTATGAATCCCTATCTTTGTTTGAGTTTGTAACACTTTCTATATAGCTAAAGCAATAGCCTCTTACCTGTCCCTCTTGTTTCTAGTCTGTGTCCCTCCAATTCTTCCTTCATATTGCAGCCAGAGTGATTTTCCTCACCCCATCACTCTTCGGCATCAAATGAGTCCCAATTGCCCTTTGGCAGAAGAGTAAATGCCCTTTGTTTTTCACAAAAATCCCTTCATAATCTGCCTGCTACCCATGTCTTCAGCCTTATTGTTTACCACTCCTTTACCTCCATTCTCCACTCCATCACAAATATCCACTAAGATCCAATTATACTTAACGACTTAAAATTTCTGGCTTTGCCATCTGTTGTCATGCTTCCATGTTTTTGCACATGCTTCTTACCTGCCTGGAATCTCCTTTCCCTCACTTTTATGTCTAACTATTTCATACTCTGTCTTTAAGACCAAACTGGCATAATTTTCTTTGGGAAGCTTTCCGTGTCTATCTTCTCCCCACAGGACTGAGTTAGAGAATCTTCCTCCATGTTCCTATCTCAGTAGTGCATACTTCTTTCATAGCATTATAATGATATATCATCTTACCTACTAGATCATGGGCTAAGGCCATGAGCAGAGTTTCTCTTAGTCATTTCCATAACTGAAACAGAGTTGTAAATATTTCACTAACAAATGAATGAATGAAACAAAATAAATGAAATGTGGGAGTGGGAAAAAACCAGAGGCATAACTTAGGAAGTAATGTTGAGGACAGAGAGGAAGTGCCATCTAATACTCTACAAAATAAAAATGAAAAATCTCATACCATCTGTCCAAAGAGGTCTACTTTCTACATTATTGATCCATCAGCAAAGGCAGTTTTTCTCAGCCTGGCCATTCAATGTCTTTCTTCTCCCAAAAGAAGCCCATCATCCAGGCAACCAAGCCCTCAATTTCCTTTGGATGTGGAGTATCCCCTGTACTAATCACTATTGCCACTCCTATGGGCACCCTCCTTGGCCAATACCCCAATTTACTGCACTCTATCAAGGTCATTCACTCATAGGACAGTCAGATGTGCAAATCTAATCGTTTTAAGACTCAGCCATTGGATAGTGAATGGGCAATATAAATTTTAGTCTAAACAGACACATTCAGCTCATACACAATAGTGTTCGACTCAGTCCACATGATATACAAAGTTATATACCTCTTATACCCGCTTCAAGAAAGGATTTACTGCCAAGCCTCCAGCTGTTAGCAACTTCAGAATCTGCCTCAGCTTTTGAAACAAGGTCACACTCTTGTTGGGTCATCCCACAGCCAATGACTGAGCAAAATGGTTATAATCAAAGTCAGACCCTCTCAGAATAACTCCAGCTAATGACCAAGAAAAGCAGTGGTACAAAAGCCTAGCCATTTTCACCCAGTGTAAGACTTCTCTAATGAGCAATCTTTGCTCCAAAAAGCCCCCTCAGGTGGCAAAGACTTTTTCAGGTCCACATCCCATTCTGGTGGCTCAACTCTGCTTCTTCTTCCCTATTCCTTAACAGGTGTTATTCCCTAATTAACCTTTTGCACTCCTAACTCCTTTCAGTGCCTGTTTCTCTCAGAGTTCAACCTGTGACATTTGGTACCAGAAGGAGTCCAAGAAAATAGGTCACAGATGGCGTTTTGGGACTGAATTCCTCACTACTAGGTGAAAAGTTGTATACATACAGCTCATGGCACAAGGAAAACCAGTTGTTAAAGCTTTTAGCTGTGGTCTTTTGGGAAGAAAGTGCCAATAGAAAGGATGTGCTAGTTGGTGAAATGATTCAAGCATTTAAAATGCATGGGATGCCCTAGCCGACTTGGCTCAGTGGATAGAGCGTCAGCCTGTAGACTGAGGGGTCCCAGGTTCGATTCTGGCCAAGGGCACATGCGTGGGTTGCGGGCTCGATCCCCAGTAGGGGGCGTGCAGGAGGCAGCCAATCAATGATTCTCTCTCATCATTGATGTTTCCATCTCTCTCTCCTTCTCCTTCCTCTCTGAAATCAATAAAGAAATATATTTTTAAAAAAAATTAAAAATAAAAAAATAAAATGCATGGGAGATGGCAGCGTAGGTGAACACCTGTACCTGCCGCCTCCCACAACCACATCAAAATTACAACTAAAATATAGAATAACCATCATCCAGAACCACCTGAAAGCTGGCTGAATTGAAGTCCTACAACTAGAGAAGAAGAAAGCACACTGAGACTGGTAGGAGATGCAGAGGGTCTGACACCCACGTGTACCACTTTTTTAATTGGGAGGGAGATCATCCCTGCAGAAGCCGCTGGTGAGGAGCAAGGGGTCCCAGCCCCACAACAGAAGCCCAGCCCAGGATCCCAGAGCTGAGAAAATAAGTCCCTGTACCTACGGGCTGTAAAAACCAGTGCAGACTGGGGCTCAGTGACACAGGCTGCTGGAGACCCAGCTGTTCCTCTTAAAAGGCCAGCACCATGAACTGAACTTACAAGGTCCTGCTTCCTCTGAGCTCCAGCACCAGGGTGAGGCTCTGAGAGATACATTTGTCTAGCATCAGGTCAGGAACTTGGGGGAGGCTTTCTCCCAGACAGAGATGCTTGCAGTGATCATTGTTTCTATGCTGGCACCTCCCTGGTCACAGGGCTGACTGGCAGCAGCCATTTCTGTTTGCTCAGCCTGGTGATTCCCTAAGACCTCACCTCATCCAATTTACAACCCCACCCAAGCTGTCTTCAGCAGCTGCTGCATATGAATGGCCTGTCCTTGTTTAGGCTAAAATCTCTCAAACAAGCTGCAGCTGGGTCAGGGAGTCACAAAACATACCAATAAAAGGCCCAAGACCCGGCACCAGCATTAACCTGCCTTGCTTCATAGCCAGGCCTCATCTGGGCACTTCCAAACCCAATACAAAGAGGAGGAATCTGCAGAACTCTCTGGAGATCCTGCTGGGTGACCCCAGGCAGTGGCTAACTTTGCACCTCCCTGGAAACCCAAGAGCCAGTGTACCCAGTGGTCAGTGTCAGATCATACCAGATAACAACTCTTCACATCCATAAGTGACTCACTCAAGGAGAAGACTCAGTGAGCACCAAAGCCCCACTGAA